ATGAAAACAGCAGCAAGTTCGGCCGACAGCTCAACTGCACATGTGCTTTCCCTCCTGACGACCGCATCAGCACGTGGCAGAAGTGCTTTGTGAAAACTTCACATTTCATCATACAGAGTCTTAAGACCATGTGTGCACAAGGGTCATGAAATAATAAAATTAAACTACTCTATTGCTTCATTTAGACCACTAAGTGCAACTGGCGGTTTTTGTTTCTACTGGGGTATGTGGTTGTCAGCTTGGTGCCACCATTGTGCTTCTTGCTGAGGTGGCAGATGTACCCACTACTGCTTCTGCACCACCCGCACAGGTTTCAACACAGTGAAAAAGTCAAAGTTGGCCAGGTGTGGTGGCTCATGCCTGTAGTCCTGGCACTTGGGGAGGCCGAGGCAGATGGAGAGGTCAAGAGATTGAGATCATCCTGGCCAACATGGTGAAACCCCGTCTCTACTAAAAATACAAAAATTAGCCAAGTGTGGTGGCGCGTGCCTGTCATCCCACCTACTCAGGAGGCCGAGGGAGGAGAATAGCTTGAACCTGGGAGGTGGAGGCTGCAGTGAGCCGAGATCGCGCCACTGCACTCCAGCTCGGATGACAGAGTGAGACTCCGTCTCAGAAAAAAAAAAAAAAAATCAAAGTCTTAAGATTATGATGGAAAAAGTTTTAACATCACAGATCCTCTGACAGCCTCTAAAGGAGACCAGGTATCTGTAATCCTGATTTGGATGAGAACCCTGATTTAGAAGATAAGAGACTCTACATTTCCTAATTTGGGGTCTACTGTAGGCTCTAAGAGGCTTGAACCCTATGAAACCATGTAAAAACTGCTAGATATGTCAATTTTCAGATTTTGAAGGGGTGCAACCCCTAACCTTAACTCTTTAGTTACTTTAACAAAGCAGCTTTACGTTTACTAGGTTGAGCTTTATAAAAGCTAGTCAGTCAGTTTTGCTATTGGTATTTTGACTATCAGAAAAAGGTCCATGCCCCAGAAACAGATAAACTAGATAATTTAACTGAAAAATCAGGTGGCTGGTTATATTTAGATATGGCTGAAATTAATGATGGAGTGGATATAACTTAGGCCTGGGAAACCGCACACTGAGAGCTGGCTTCCTGGGAATTGCTCCTCACCACCTGCATCTCTCTGAACCCAATAAGCTTTTTTATCTGGAGAAGAAAAGGGTCAGGCTGGATGATCAGCATGTTTCCATTAATTTCTAGGTCTAAAGTTGATGATGTATAAAAATACACAACACACGAGGAGATGCTCAACATAACTGGTTGTGGGCAAATACAAATCAAAACCACAATGAGATACATTTCACACCTACTAGAATGGCTGTAATGAAACAGATACTAATGAGTGTTGGGGATACTGGAGCCCCCATTCACTGCTGAATGGAAAATGGTGCAGCGACTCTGAAAACAGTCTGGTAGTTCTTCAAAATGCTGACGTTACCATATGACCCAGAACTCCACTCCTAGGTATATGCCCAAGAGATATGAAAACACATGTTCATACAAATGCTTGTATATCAATGTTCACAGCAGTCATTCATAACAGCCTCTAAATGGAAATAATCCAATGTCCATCAACAGATAATATGGATAAATAAAATGCAGTACAACTTTATCATGGAATATTATGGGGCAATAAAAAGAAATGAGGCACTGACACAGGGATGAACCTTGAAAACATTATGCTAAGTGAAGGAAGGCCGACACCAAAGCGTACATAGTCTGTAATGCCATTTATATGAAATGTCCACAACAGGCAAATCCAGAGAGACAAAAAGTCGATCAGTGGTTGCTCAGGGCTGGGGGTGGGTGAGGCAGGAGGGAACAATGACAGTGACTAGATTTCTTTTTGAGGGAATGAAACTTCTAAAAGCAGGTGTGATGATGGTTGTACAATCCCGTATTCATGTTAAAAATCACTGACTCATATACTTTAAATGGGTGAATTCTAAGATCTGTGAATAATATCTCAATAGCTCTGTTAAAAACAACCATCTAGCAGTCCAATCTAATAAGCAGGATACTTAAATGTAGCAGCATTAGGAGCACGACAACTACAGAGCTTTGGATTCTTCAAAAAAAGTGGAAATTAATGTCTCTAAAAATATTGTGACCAAAATATACACACCCCACCGCCAACCAAGAAACAAACGGAACAGGCATGGCTGAAGTCTGCTTAAGCGTTGAGCACGCAGCGGCTCTGAGCTGCACAGCTTCTCATCAGATGTGAACCGCAAAGAGGCCCAGGCCTTTTTCCCCTGCCACACCAGGCCCAGGGGGACAGAGGCCTTGTACTGGCTGCTTAAATTCCTGACCTCTTCTTTTAGAGGGCCACAAACCCCGGCCGGGCACCACCCCGCCATGTGTTCTTCCTTCTTTCACTCTACTTTTCATCAATGCCCTCTAGCTACAGAACAAAACAACAACAAAACCAAAATTCCAATCTGTAACTGTCCCCTATTCTACCTCTAGATCCAGACAAACAAGGGGTAGACAAAGGCTCTGTTCTCTTCTGAACTTAAATCAGAGCAGAAAGGAAAGAAAATGAATTGTCCCTTGCTCTTACGGTGACCAGACAAGCATTTCATGTGCATCTATCTTCACGGGACAGTCTAATTCATCACCAAGTTTTCACTCCGCGCCTTCTTCCCACCCACATGGGCATAAGGCAGAAATCACATTCCCAGTCTTGCAAGTCTATCAATTTAATCTGTATTGCTTTCTTTCATGGCATTGCCGTAATCTAAAATGATACATTATTGGTTGGCTTATTTTATGGTTGTCTCCCACATGAACATGAAAGCTTTACGAGGGCAGAAATCTTGCTCACTATTTTATTTCCTCACCCAAAAACGTGCCTGGCCCATGGTGGATGCTGAATTAGTGTCTGCTGACTGCTTAGGGAGCCCGGTGTGAGGTCTGGGTGGCAAACAAGTTAAGGTGGCAGGAGGAGAATCAAGTTAGGAGACAATGATCACAGGAAGAGGAGAAGCAATGATTACGTAATCCATAAAAACAATCTCAAGGGCTTTTCAGTATCCTAAGTGGTGCCAGTAACCTATACTGCTACTGTGAAATGCACACGAGAGGCAAGGGTGGGCATCTGACCTGAACCAGGCCAACAGGAGTCTCGTCATTCTTTGCAGACTCTTCCCTCTTAGGCTAAAGAGTGGGAATCAGATATTTTCTTAAACACAGGAAAATCTTCCATACATGTAAACTTAATATAGAATTTATACACTTACAAATCTAATATATAATAAAATAAAATGAATACATAATAAGGAAGCAGTAAGCAATGGGGGGAATGAAATATTCAATACATGATGTAGGGAGAAATGATTTTTCAATAACTTTAGAAGAAAATAAATTAAAAAAAAGAAGCTCTGTCCCTAACCCACATCATTTAAAAAAACAACTGGAATGCTCCTAACACAAAGAAATTATAAACGCTTGAGGTGATGAAAACCCCAATTACCCTGATTTGATCATTATACATTCTATGCTTCTATCTAAATATTACATATATCTATCTCATAAATAAATACGATCACATATCCATACTTCAAAACAACTTTTTAAAAAAAGGAAAAAAAAAAAAAGAATTATAAACTGTAATGTGAAAAACAAAATTATGAAACTAACAGGAGAAAACATTAAAGATTTTTACGATTCTGGGGCTGGAGTGGCCTTCCAAAGTAATTGAGGGTTGAAATTAATGAAAGAAAAAGAGATATTCCCCAAGTGTCATTAGTCTGAACTGGTAAGGTTTTAGGGTACATATTCTCTGCTCAGTTTATGCTTATAACTATTCTTCAGGTACAGGTCTGGGACAGGAACCCACATGCCCGACTACATGGTGGCCATGCTGGTGAATTCTGAATTTTAAGAGTTAACAACAGTAAGCTAAAAAAAAAAAAAACAAGTTGATCTCAACCTCTGACACAGCAGTCTGAACTACAACAAATAATATTTCATGTTTTTCCAAAGCAAATATGCTAAGGAGGAAATAAAAGTATTTTAGGTCAAGAAGTCTAGTCAATTCTGAAATACATAGCTTTGGGGAAAAAAAAAATCAGTAACTTAACAAAGAGTTCAGTGAAAATTGGATTTAACATTTTACACTAAGCCACACTAGCTCCCCAGTAAGTGTGTGTGTGGGGTACTAGTTTTGGTAATGCCACTGAATGAAGTGTTTCCAGGTGGTGCTGACTGAAGTCACAATGGGATATAGTAAGAACAGCTGCAAATGACCTGGGAATGGGCTGTAAAGTATGACACTTCAGAGGACTGAGATTTGGGGGCTGAATAAAACCAACAGTGAACTAATTGCAGGATGTTAGACTATCTCAGCCGATCAGGACATACTGTCATTGACAGACAAATGACAGAGGAAGCGCTGACAGAGGAAGGTCTTCTCAACCAATCAGCATGGGCTGTCCTGATTCCAGCACTGACAAGTGGAGGCCTTCTCAGCCAATCAGCACGGGCTGTCCTGATCCCAGCACTGACAGGTGGAGGCCTTCTCAGCCAATTATCATGGACTATTCTGACACCAGCTTGGTTCTGTCAAGATTTCAACTCCATCCCATCATTAGAATTTTCCTGCACATGGCAGGACAAAATGTTTACTTCTGAACTAGATAAGGGCACTACTATATTAATGTTTAAGAAAACAAATTTAAAGAGGATAAAATAAATACAAATTCTAACATTTCTGCCCCATAGGGTAGTTGTGAGGATTAAATGAGTTAATAAATGCAAAGCACTTAGACTGATCCCTAGAAGGCAACTGACTTACTATTATTATCATTATAATCCAGGATACATTACAAAGACAATTTTCATTCTTTAAGTACAATGACAAATTTTGGAACGGGAGGATGCTTCTCGGTAGCACTGTGTTAGGCTCAGATGTCTTGGCCTGCCCTGTTTATAAATCAGGACTGGGACATACTGGTTAAACTGTAATCACTTACCATATGGACTACTTCTGGGTAAATAGGCTCTGTGATCACGTTCCGATTATGGGTGATATATTCTACCATTTCACTTAAAGCAGCTCGTTTCACTTCCTTCCACTTTAGGTCACTTAGTGGATCAGAAACAAAGTCAAAGAGGACGCAACACTGACGTAACTTCTGGATAAAAAGCTTCTCTTGATCAGCAGGAGGAACATCTGAAAAGCAGAAAGCAAAGTATATTGATCGCAAAAGTGCTTAACCCAAAGTTACTGCGAAACACGTTTAAGCTTCTATTTTTATTTTGAATAGAGATTCAAGAAAAAAGGAGATGGGGTGGGGTGAACAAAGGTTAAATATTCCTTAAAGAAAATAAAAAACCCAGCTAGTCACTGGTCATATTATACATTTGGTATGCTGACATTTCCATGCTTTTTAACTCTTTCAAACCACGTCGAGAGCACTGTTAGAAATAAATTCCATCTACATGTGTTCATTCAACAAATAGTACCTGAGCAGCAATCATCACAGGCCCGTGTTGGGCAATGGAAGAGGAGGCAACCAGTAAGGACCACGTCTGGGCAAAGGGCGTGGACACATTCACACCACGTGATATCTGCAGAAGGTGGGTTCAGGCAAGGTAAAAAAGACCAGAGGGGGAAGTGTGCCTCCTTATGTCTGTCTATGGGCTCTCAACTTACAACAGGGGAAGGGTAGGTGGTTGTCCACCCTGGCTAGACGATAAACAGAGCGACGGGCATCGGCACAAAGACGGTCAAAGCCAACTGTTACTTACACACATTCAAAGAGTTACCACCTGAGAGCCGCACCCAGCACACTGCATTCCCCTCATGCTGGTCTACAGTCAGGGCATATCACACGTGATGACTGACGTCAATGACAATGGCAATTTAGAAGCAGCAGTAACGGTAACTATTACTTAGTCAGTGCTTACCTGGGCCAGATATCACCCTAAAACTTTACACATATTGACACTTTGTTTTCATTTAATCTTTATAATAACACAACAGAGATAAAGAAAGAGGTTTAGAATATCACTGCAGGGTTGGCAAGTGGATGAAGCTAAATTCAAAGAAAGCTCTGAATGACTGTCCAGTATTCTGGGAAGTCTGGAAAACTTCTATCTGCCAGTGTGAACTTGACAGTTTCCTTGGGCTGAAGAGGAGATCAGTGGTGATATTAATGAATGGGATTTACTGATATACATACCGATATGTGTCAAAGATTTGCAAAATGTTTTAGGAGATTTGCATAACTTGATTAACAAGCATTTTCCAAACGATTAATAAACAGTGTTAACACCATTCTAGGGCAGAAAAGCCATTCAAAGTGCAAAGTACCATTTGATTCAATGGAATAAAATTTACAGACAGCTCTCACTGATACGGTTTCAGATTCCGCATTACAGATTTCTTTAAGAAACTACTCATGCTAAGTTTTGGTGTTATATCAAAGCAAGTGTACACAACTATCTGAAAAGGCTACTAAAATACTCCTCCCTCCCCAACGATGCCTTCCCCACACCTCAACCAAAGCAACACATGGCAACAGACTCAATGCAGAAGCGGACAGGAGAATCCTTGAGTTAATGTCTCCTATTAAGCCAGACATTACAGCGATTTGCAAAAATAAAGAACAATGCCATTCTTTGCAGTAAATTAGTTTTAGTTTTGGACAACAGGGCTATTTTTTCTTTCTTTCTTTTTGAGACTGAATCTCATTCTGCTGCCCAGGCTGGAATGCAGAGGCATGATCGTGGTTCACTGCAACCTCTGTCTCCTGGATACAAATGATTCCTGTGCCTCAGCCTCCTGAGTAATTGGGACTACAGGCGTGCACCACCACACCCAGCTAATTTCTGTCATGTTAGTAGAGACGGGGTTTCGCTACGTTGGCCAAGCTAGTCTCAAACTCCTGGCCTCAAGTGGTCCACTTGCCTCGGCCTTCCAAAGTGCTGGGATTACAGGTGTGGGCCACTGTGCCTGGCCAATGTGGCTAACTCATTTCTGTTAAAATGTAATAGGTTCACTATTATTTTAATAAATTAATATATACATGTTTAAACATTTCTCTGGTTTAATTTCAAATAGGTCAATAGCAATAGCTGAATTCATGTAAACAGTGCTCTTTGGGGTCCTGCATAGTTTTCAAGGAGTGTTGGGGCCCACTGTCCATACCAGCCCGACTCCAGTGAGTGTCCTGGGGACTGCGGGGCTTTCCTACTTTCCTGCAGCTCCTGTGCTGCTTCTGGCCGAGCATTTCCAAACTCCTCTTACCTTTCCCTGCCTTTACTGTAGACTTCCTGTTGAGGTTTCTTCCACAAGACCTTTCCTTACTGCTTGTTAGGTGGGAAGTGTGACTCTGAGCAAGTCATTTGGCACTTGTTAGTGCTTTAATCAGTTAGCTATCTGCTTAGTACCTCTTACTCAATGGCCAAAATCCAACATTGAGCCTTGCAAATAACAGGCATGCAGACTCTGCCACCTGAACAGACCCATTCTATAGGAAGCTATGGTTTCCGTGTTTCCCATGCTGCATTCAGAGATAAGAAGCAAACATACAAGTCCATGGGAGGGGACGTACTGCCCAGAAGATACCTAAAACACCATGAGAACAAACACTTGATTCCTAAACACGCTGAGAACTCAGTGGCTGTGCAACTATTTGAAACAAGCAACTGTCATTACAATGTTCAAGACTTTTCACATTCAGATAGCCAGTATTTTTCAATGAAAAAGGGTTTATTTTTGGAATTATCTCTTTGCTTGCCTTTGATTCTCATCAATTCTAGGCCTCTGTACCCTGATTTGCCAGGATTACCTTAAATGAGCTCATGTGTGTTGTCGCAGCCTGTGTATTTGGAGCTGTCTGGCATGCTCACATTCTTGGCACTACAGAGAGCTGAGAGCCCACCATTCTCCCCAAGAGCCATGCGGATGCCCCCCGTTCAGGACCTGTGCACAGCTTGGCTCCTAAGGACTGGCCAGTTAAGTCCTTTAAAAGGACGTGTCCTCACCAACTCCTCCTAACAGCAGTATCAAGCCAGTGCCGTTCCACCCACCTGGAGGCGACACACAGATATGAGGGCTGACACAGCTTGCCAAAGGCCTCGGTGCTAGGAAGTGGCAGATACACACACGAGAGCCAAATGTACCCTTTTCAGGGAATCGAAACCCAAAAGGATGTTGGGATCATTCAGAGCGGAGTTAAGTAAGTCTTATAAGCCTCAAAATGCCCTAAAAGCATCACTGGCTTTATAAACACTGGACAGTTACTGATACTCAGAATACAGACTAAGTTATCATCCAAACACAAACAAATGTATTACAATTAAGAAGAGCAGAGTAACACTGTTTTTCACAAAATTTCTACCCAAAATGGTCTAAAAGGCAAGTGAATTTCAATTCTCCTAGGCTTCCAGACAGACTGTTTCTGTACTGTTTTTGTTTGTAGACTAGAAGCAGATAGGCTTGTGATTATAATCTCATGAGCTCTTTTTTTTTTTCATTTAAAAAAATCTCATTTGACTTTTTTTTCTTTTTTTTTTTTTTTACAATTTTACTGTTTCTAAAAAAAACCTGTAACAACGAATTGGGTAACTGCATCCTTGGGCCCTAGCAAATATTTCCATAATTTTTTTTGAATGGAAGTTAATTTAACTTCTTCTTTATCAACATATTTTAAAAATTTTATTTTCTGCTGTGTTAACAGGACTGTGCTACTGGGAAATAAAAATGGGAAGTGGTGGAAGAATATGCTTTGTATCTTTATGCATTCTGATTTTTTATAGTAAAGTGCTATTACAAATGCCTTATATTTGTATAGATAATTTTAGCTTTCCCATTATTTTAATTAATACGCTATTGTGAATTTGAGATAATTTCCAATTATTTCAAGATAAATCCTTAATCATATCCAGAAGCAATATACATAGACATACTCATGCAAAACCTGTAGGTGAGAGAAGAGAAGACCCAGGGCATCCAAAATGACGGAAAGAAGGTGGAGATAAGAATGTGCTATTTTGGCTGGGTGCGGTGGCTCACACCTGTAATCCCAGCACTTGGGGAGGCTGAGGCAGGCGGATCATCTGAGGTCAGGCGTTCGAAATCAGCCTAGCAAACATGGTGAAACCCCATCTCTACTAAAAATACAAAAAAATTAGCTGGTGTGGTGGCAGGTGCCTGTAATCCCAGCTACTTGGGAGACTGAGGCAGGAGAATCACTTGAACCCAGGAGGCAGAGGTTGTAGGGAGCTGACACCACTGCATTCCTGCCTGGGTGACAGAGCGAGACTCTATCTCAAAAAAAAAAAAAAAAAAAAAAAAAAGAAAAAAAAAATGCTATTCTTTAAAGAACTTATTCCCTTATTTACTAAAGGGAAGCCTGTTATTAATCAGTGCTAAACAGAGATGCTTAACAAAGGTTACCTTTAAAGCAGGATGGGCGCACCCCTGTCTAGCTTTATGCATGCCCCTGGTCACAACAGTCAGGGAGGAACAGGAATTTAATGCAGTTCACCGGTCACTGATCTCTAGAGTGCAGCGTGAGCCTGGCAATACTCAAGATTGGGATGTAGGAGGAAAACAGCAGAGTGTCTATTTATAGTTTCTTCTTCTACAAAAAACAAGAAATTTTGACATACTAATACTCAATATACAAATTTACACGCAGTGGAGGTGTGTGCTGCAGGCTGCTTTTGCTGCCAGGCAAGTGTGGACAGAAGACTTTGGAGACCAGGACTGGGCAGTGAAGGCTTTTGTAAACGAGCCATAAATGGCGGACACCACAGCCAACCTCACAGACGTTGCAACAGGTACCTGCAGAATAGAGGGAGAGCTGTGACACACATGCTTAGCCGCCAAATCACAGAATATGAGGTGAAAAGGCTGAATTACTCTATTGTCGCTATGCACCAAGAGGCATCATGTGAACTGTTTGTAGATAGGAAACTGACAGAAAAAAATAAAAAGCCAAGCCCCATTTAGATGACAAGTCTTGGTGGTCAAAGAAATCCTCCGAGACACAACACAGGACCAGGTCAGCACGGCAGCTGCAGAAAGACGGCGGGACCAGGACTTTCTGCTGCGTAGATGACGGGGCCTTCCAAATAAATGTTACCCCAACGGAGCAAAAAGACACAGTGGCAAAAACCACCAGTCTAGACGGTGACCACTCAAAAGATACCCCAGAAGGT